GGGGGGGTGTTGTTGACTATTTTGACTCAATATAATTTGACTGTGCCCACAAAGACTGGGATGAGAGTATTTTAACTTCCAAATAACCTAAAGAAACTCATCACATTTCTGATACACCAAAATCAATGCACTGTTCCATTTTAATAAATGGGTAAAACAGCCACATGTATAGAGTGGGGGGTGTGCATGTGGCCACTTCAGTTATTTATTGAAACCATGTGGGGAAAGCAAAAAACCCAAAACAAAAACACTGCGATTAAATACGATGTTGAATGTCTTTACTGTTAAAAAAGTGTACTGCAATGTATACAACTATGTTGCTCTCTCTCATTGTTTAACATGTTGTTGAAGAGGGGGTGGGTGAGAGGCATTGGATTGTTGATTATATAAATGGAATCATGTACAGTTTTACACTTATAATGCATCTATCATCATTATCAACAGATCGCAGGGAGCGAGGGAGAAAGGGGCAGCAAAGGACAGACAACATAGAAAAGATTCATCCGCTTGAATTTGAACACCCTTTGCTGTGGAACCAATGCTATGTTACTCTTTCAAAGAGAGGGGAAGAAAAAAAAAAAAAGCGAGAGATGGAAACAACTGTGTTCATGTACAGGTATGAATGCTGTAAGTGCAGAACCAAATGTTCGACCAATAAAAGTCTATTGGGATCAAGTTGTACTGGTTTCTCTGAAGGTGGATGTAGACTTGATTAACCGAACGTGGGGCTGAGCATGATGGTACTGGTGGCAACGGTGGGCGACTCGAATGGTTGGATTTAGCGCTCGCCCTGATAATCGTGGTGGTGGTGGTGTCAGCGTGTCACGGGGGTTGGCTTCTTTAGTCGATGTACTGGGAGAGCCAGCGGAAGCCCTCGCCGTAGCCCTGCCTCTTCAACACACTGCACATGAACACCTCCAGTGGTCTTGTGTTCAGCTCCTTCAAGGGAACGTTGCCCTGAGGACGGAAGAAAAAAAAAAAAAAAGAGGCAGAAAGAAAAATTAAACCAAATCCACTTTGGGACCACAACACATTGGTACAAGGCTCATTTACTGTACATGATCCTCTATGTCTTTTACATTGATGAAATATCTGACATGTTATGCAAAAGAACCAGGCAGGGATTTATCTAGGACTGCTGGTCCTTTCATATTTTGATATATTAACTTATATTATTTTTTTTCTGTTCTTCAGCATTTAGAGCTTTAAAGCCTTGGTTCACTTGGACGGGGTCTCACCTTTCCTGTCGTCTGTCCGTACAATCCGAAGATTTCCCTCAGCCTCTCCTCGCTGATGGCTTCTGGCCTGTCAATCTTGTTGCCCAGGATCAGAATAGGCACATTTCCGATGGTCTCATCTGTCATTAATGCCTGGGTGGGTCAATGAGAGTGACAACATGACGTATTGGTAGGTAAAGGTAGATTTGGAATCATATTCCAAAAAGTAAGACAATGCGCTACACATTTAAAATTCATCTCAAACAATGGCTAATAAATTGTTGTACATTGTCTGACAGTGTGGGGTAAATTTCTTATTCACTATTTTTGTCTGACCTGTCAGAGACCACAGATAAGGAGCAGCCTTTTAGCTAACTCTGGTATATTTACATTGATATCTTCAATAATATGCACCGTCCCTTCTAAATTAAAGGGAAAAAATAAATGCACGAGCAGATTTATTTAAAAAAAATAAAATAATTAAATGCGGTGTTTGAATGAAGAGTTTATGGCTATTATAATTTTTTTCTAGTAAGTTCTCACAGTTATTGCTTTGATTGTCCTCTAACTGACTAAGTTATATGTAACTAGTAGACAGTAGTAGCCTTTGAATAGCATGAGTTTTTAGTGACTTGAAGTCAGACAGGAGACCACACTAACAATGGGAATTGGGGCTGCATGTGCCATAACCCATAGGCTACCGTGTGTTAGAACGTAGTAGCTCATTTGGCTTATGAACCATCACTGTTCATAGGTTACTGCCTGTAAAACTAAAAATGTGACCTTGAACACAGCTGGTGTGAATTTAACCAAACTCGCACACAAGTTTGGTTAAATTCGTTCCAATACAAGGAGGAGGAGTGATTCTTATAGCCATGCCAGGTCACTGATCATTCAGCCAGATAAGTCCATTTAAAAATTACATTTAAAAAAGCCAGCAAAAAACATGCTTTTGTGAAACACAATTAGAAAAATAAAGAGTGTGATTAACATTTTCCTGTAACTCCTAAAATACAAACAAAACATTTGACTGGCCAAAGTTACACTTTGTCATTTAGAATTTGCTCAGTTTTAGATGTTCTGTGAGCAGCTTTTGCCTTTCAGACTATTCTAAAACTGGTAAATTAGTTACCAGAAATATCCCTTTGGTCTGCTAGTTGAAAAGTAGATTAGAACATGTAGGGAAGAGAAATGAACTCCTCTCTTTTAAGAAGCGGGGCTAGAAGCAGATTTTTCAGAAACATCCGAGACATATTAGATTAATGCACCACAAACTGAAACCCTTAAAAAACATTTGAATAAAGAAAAACTGCCATACTGTTTTGTGTAATCTAGCATAATTCCCATAATATTGGGAATTGGTACCCATTGTACCATACCAATATGAATTGGTACCCATATTGGTACCCATTGGGCAAACAATTGTGATCAATAATATTGTGGTGACGCTTTCATACAAACACACTTTTTTCAACACGTTTCCTTTTTCTCTTATTTTTAAAATAATTATTAATTATATTTTGTTCTTTTTCTACATGATTTACTTGTTTTATGAAAGAAATAATCCCTTTTATGAGTAGTCCTTTAATAATCCCTTTGTTGGCTGGTCTTTGTATCTTTATATGGATTTACTGGGGAAAAACAAACCAACTATTATCTCCTCTCATTTTTTTCTCAAATTGCATAATGATCAAATACATGTGGTAAAAGGTAACATGCACAATGAATAACCAAAACTTCACTTATTTCATTCTTTGTTATTATACTAAAAGCTGTCAAAAACTACGCTTAGCGGTGTGATGATGACCACGTGTGTTGCGGGTACTTACATCAAGTTCTGCTTTCGATTCACCCAATCTCCCGAGGTCTGCACAATCCACAAGGAAGACAATGCCATTGATGGCAGGGAGGTAGTTTTTCCACACCCTGCGGGCTAAGTGAACAAACAAATTTTTAAAAAAAAAATCTTATTTGTCAACTTCTCTTCTGTTTTAACCTTGGGCTAACCAGACTGAAAACTGAAGTACATTAGCCATACAAATTAATATTGTTGTTCCCTTAAAAACAAAATGCAATCAGTAAAATACAAAAACTATCAGAACACACACACAGACACACCTTGTGCGTGGCCTCCAAGGTCAAAGGTGGTGAAAGTCATACCAGCAATCGTCAGCTCTTCTGAGGCTGGAGGGGAGGAAATGAATTAGTCAAGCACCTCAAAAGATACTGAAAAAACATCAGTTTAATGCAATTCCATATGGAATATCCAAGCACATGTTACACATAGGTACGTTACATTTATGATATTACATCCAATCAACAGCATCTGCTTTAAAAGTGTCTGTTAACAAGAAAACAGATATAAATGTCTGTAAAAGCTGCCTCCATTTCTTTGTATTGACAGTCTTTTGACACATAACCGAATGAGCATGTGTGAACGTGCATGCGTGTGACAGAGTAAGCACCAACTCACTTGGGTGTAAAGTTGGCACATGCTGTCCCAATCTGTCATCTTTGAGCATGTGCAGTAGCGTCGTTTTGCCAGCATTGTCCAGGCCAAGAAATACTAACTTGCCGGATTTCTTATACAGTCCTGAAAGAAAGCCAAAAGTATTTCAGAACACAAGCCTGTACGCTACTACTCTTTTTTTAAGTTGCTGAATCACATTATATTTCACATTATATTTTTAAAGCAAATCAGTGACACTAAACAAAGGCTGTCAAGCTCAGACCTGTTCTTAGAACTACAGGGGATATTTAATCCACATAAGTTTATATAAATCAGAACACCATTTTGGTTTTCTCAAATTCACACAATGATTATTTAAAAAGAAGTGGTTAGTTTCCAATTTGATGGACTGATTTGACTATTTTTCTTTTTTTTCCTTTCTTTACATTTAAAAAAAAAAAAAACTTTTCTCAAAAGGTAAAAGGTGCAAAGTTATGCCACTCCTTGATCAACTTTCCTAACAAGATTACAAGCCTTTGTGTTTACAACTCTGAGTCAGCATAGTGATACTTGGTGGATTTATAACATTTCTGAGTCAGTCAGCTGGATGACATCATTACTCACAGCAGCACTATGCGACCTGTCTAACTGGGAGAACAAGAACGCCCGTTTCATATAAGCAGTTCGAACACAGAAACTAGAACAGCACACCCTGGGGAAAAGAGCTGCTGGTACACATTTCAAATGGACACTCAGAGAAAGAAAAGACGGGGAAAAAAAGAAGGGTGGAAAATTCTGTCATGTTTCTGAGAGATGTATCCTTTATGAGGCTTTCATGTTTACGCAGCATGTGGACATCACTGAAAGCTTTAAGCTGAGCGACTTTCAGGGACCAAAATGGCAATGCCATAACCCATAGGCTACCGTGTGTTAGAGCTCTAACCAGGAACTAAAGACATACACTGAAGCAATAGAAAGAATTTGAAAAATGATGACCACTTCAAAAAATGGTGATACAATCAAAAGTGTAAGACTGTAAAAATGGATGTTAGAACGTGAAACAAAACAAAGCATTTTCCTGACAAGTGCTGCAGCTGAAAAATATTTTATGAACAACAATAAAATTTTGCAGCGTGGATTAGGAGATAATGAGTGAGGATGTACCAATCCAACTTATTCCATTTCTAATTTGATACCTTACCTTCAGTTATATTTGATATCAGATCTCAACTAAAGCTGTACTACCCACTGTGTCCCTCTTATGTCAACAGGGTCAGGATTGAATAAATGGCCCATTATACCTGATGTCTCCCTAGCAAATGGCGGCAGACGCCAGAGGTGACGTTTAAAACATGCTTTGGTGCATTTTTCCTGGTCATGCACCTCTCAATTTTTTTTACCTTGCATGGAGGTGCAGACAGGTTGAAGACATACATGTGCAATCCTGTCAGTTTTTAACCACCATTTCATATATTGGTGCAGAAGCTCAGAGATATCCATATTACACAGAGGGAGATGCTGCAACAGCCTGGAAAGATCAGACTTTCTGTGTGAAACTTTGGAAAGGTTTTGCCTGAGGGACAACACCTATTTGTTTAGGTGCATATTGCAGCGAGTCTCAAGCACTCTCAGCCAGTATATATAGTCCTCACGTCACAGCTGACTTCAGGGCTGGACTGGGCATTTTGACTAGAGACCGACCCACCCACCAGGTATTAAAGCCATAAAGCCTTGAATGAAAATAAACGCTGTTGTGACAGTGATGTACACTGTCCTGTTGGTATATGTATGATTTCTATACATTTTACGTCAGATAAAAACTTTGGTTGTAAGATTCAGATAATTATTTATTAAAAGCTAGACATTTTACATGAGAATAAGAAAGAAAAGTATTTCTTTGTGCCCCCCTTTCCCTGTTAATGCCCTACCTGGCCCCTGGCAAAACTTTGCTAGACCTGCCCCTGCACAGTTACCAGCTGTCAGCTACTTAGAAAAGGATCCTGGTATTATTTGTCTCTCAGAAACAGTTCATAACTTCCCTTCAACTCATTCATGTCACCTAAAAAGGTAAACCTGTTTCTCCTTCACCTGTTCAGCTCTGATGATTCAGTAAGGACATCTCCTGACCACATATCCAAACTGATATCATGACCAGTAGCTTTTACAGCTGTGGCTCCAGCAAACATCAGCTGATACTAGAAAGTAATATTAAATAAATTCTAACAACAGCTGATCACGCTTAAACGTGCTGCTGTTGTTTAGCACGATATCCGCTGGTTTCCTCTTTCTGGCGCAAAATGGGAGATAAACAAACGAGAGACGGGACTTGCATCAGAAAAGACAATCAGCTGATCATTGATCAGATTCATGATTGAAGCAGCAACACAAGAGGGATGGGGAGAGAATGAGAGAAGAAGAGGCAGCTGACAGCGTGAAGACACAGAATAACTCCAGCTTTGCGTCTTTTTCCATTCTAGCTGAAGTACGGGATAAACTGTGTTCCTTCTCAGCTCAATACGAAACGCGTAATATTTTCTCTGAATACGAGACGATTACGTTTTTTTACAGGACGATTGGCAACTCTACTAACTAACCTTATGAATAAAAAAAAGTTCACTATCAGTAACATCATAGCACCCACCCAGCTGTATAGAAACTCCATCATGCTAGCCAGTACGCAGTACGAGTTATTGGAACTGACTGTAAAAAGTCAGCACAACGAAAATAAAATACACCTAAACTTGGTTTATATCTGACCCAGATAGACTGCAGGTCATAACTTCTTACCTGAAGTTTACCTGACACTCAGACAGGCGGCCGCCTCGAGTCTCTCCTCCTCCTGCCTCCCCTTTCCCTCATCCACCTGCTGGCCTCTGTGGAAGCTCCGCCATAGCCACCACCAAACAACTGAGTGATTTTTACACTTCAGCCAGCATCTTTCCCTGAAAATTTTCAGTTTTAAAAATTGGGCCGACATCCAAACAGATCAGTGCATCCTGAGTTTGTGTCTGTATACTCCCACATTTGTGTCTGGGAGTACAAACTAAACTTTTTAAAGAGAAATTTTGCTTCTTCCCGTTACCGTCTACGATAGCAGAGAGGGATTTCTAGTCACAAAGCGCAGTATTGTACACAACAGAAATCCAAGGTATGGGGAGTAAAAACTTATTCTTTTTTTGGTGGTGGTGGGGGGTTAAGCTGTATTTTCCTAGGGATTCTATATGTGTAGTTTCTAGGCCGTGTGAAGACTAATACCTCACCCAGGAGGTGTCCAGGAGGCATCCTTGTCAGATGCCTGAAACACCTCAACTGACTCCTTTCAATGGGGAGGAGTAGCAGCTCTACTCTGAGCCCCTCCCGGATGGCCGAACTTCTTACCCTATCTCTAAAGGAGAGGCCAGCGGCCAGCCACAACAGACCGGTACAGCATCTGCATCACTGCAACCACAGCAGCAATCCATCTGTCGATCTCCCGCTCCCTTCTCCTCACTCATGAACAAGATACTTGAACAGCACATATAACTGAAGGTGGGTATCAAGATACTTCAATCTCCACTTGGGGCAGGAACTCCTCCCTGACCCGGAGTGGGCATTCCGCCCTTTTCCGACTAAGGACCATGGCCTCAGATTTGGAGGTGCCGATTCTCATTCACAGCGCTTCACACTCGGCTGTGAACTGCTCTAGTGCAAGGTGGAGGCCATCACCCGATGAAGCCAACAGAACCACATCATCTGTGAAAAGCAGTGATGAGATTCTGAAACCACCCAGGTGAAAGCCTTTCGCTACACCATGAACAGAATCAGTGACAAAGGGCAGCCCTGGTGAATCCCATCACCACGAGTCCGACTTAATGCCGGTTATGCAAACCAAGAGCTGGTCCAGTGTTCCATGACCAGGATGAAAACCGCATTGTTTCTCCTGTATCCGAGGTTCGACTAACAGATGGACTCTCGTAACACTAATCTGCCAAGCGGCAAGCAGATCAGTGTTAGTCAATATTCAAAAAGGTAATTTCACTCCCAGGAGAAAGTAATTAATTTTACTCGTAACATTACTTTCATGTTACTGTAACATAGCTGAAATGCATTGACTCATAATTACCATTTAACAATACAAACAGAGGCTACAGTTTCACACACCAACACAAATCGCTATCCTAATAAGGTCACACAGATAAGATAAGATAAGATAAGATAAGCTTTATTAGTCCCACACGTGGGGAATTTGTTTTGTTACAGCAGAAAGTGGACAGTGCAAAGTTACATAGAAAAATTAGAAAAACACTGGAATAAGATAATGATAATAATATGATCTTTCTCTCAGTGTTTAGGTATGAACACAAAACTGACAACACAAAGCAAAGATGAACACCAGCACAAAGACACTTCAAAGTGATCAACGCAGTAATTCTATTGTTGAAACGGAGGCTGCAGCCTGTCTGCTCATCAGTTTGTTACCTTTGAAATTTAGGGTCTGTCTGGCTGGGTTGGGGTTAGCAGTCACTCAGCTTTAACATCACCCTGCGTTCTTGGCTAGCTTAGCGTTAGCATGCTGTCTGACTAGATGCTTGCAAAGAGTCGACGCTGTGTTAGCAACATAATGCAGGTGTTTATGTCCTAGATGCAGTTTCCAGTTTACCATTGCATTCTCATCCTATTGTGCAATAACAATAAACGTAATGTCATATCCACAATATAGACTGTGTCACTATTTGCAAGTGCAAGAACCGATAACTGGATCGATAGACAAGCAGACCAACGAGACTAACAGTTCCCAGTAGTCCAAGGAAATGGACAACTGGGAACCGGTTCTTAATTCCCATCCCTAGTTGGTACTCACCTAAAAACTGTAGTACGCTATTGAAACCGCTAGAAATCCACTCCAATAGGAATGACATATCCGGAGCTGTTGAATCCTGAAAAACAACCCCACCCCCCAAAAAAGAGGATTCAAAACAAAGGAAAGAACAAATTAATTCACAGAGAAGGGTATTTTTCCCCCCTTGGACTGATAAGTGCTGTAAAGTGAAGCAAAATTCAGTCCTCCCTTTTATTTTCCTTCTGCATAAAGAAGATTTTAGTGGCCCTGGAAGAGAATTTAGCCTCTGTGTGTGTGTGTGTGTGTTCTTTTTGGGGGGATAAATATATGGTACTCAGATTGGAAATTTAAACTACACTTTCTAGAACCTTTTGTAATTGTGTCTTACCTTAATTTATTTAACTTCTGCACCAAAGGAAATTAATTCTGCTAAGTTAAAGAAAATATCTTATCTGATTCAACAGTACTTTTCAAATTTTATAAGTTGTAAAATTGTGATTTTGGTTTTTTTTTTAATAGGGCAAAAACCAACTTGCAAAAGTATCTGAAAACATTAAGTGATAAACACAATTAAAGGGTAACACATAACTTAAGAACTAAATATGCCAGTTGCATCAACCTATCACACAGATACTAGCAACTGCTGATAAGAACAGTGAGTGCCTTTCTACAGCCAATGATTATCTTGTTCCAGCAGGACAGGAGATTCAGAACCCTGATCACATACCATCTGACAGTTTCTTGACAGACAACATGAGCTTTAATCTGAAAATTATGCCGTCTAAGACGTTCAAATGGGGGTAGCCTAATTGTTGTCCAATTTAAAAAAAAACCCCAAAATAAACAGACTCAGATAACTACTATAAGTATGAAATCAATAGGTACCAGTTTCTGTTGTGTAACAGATGTTTTTTTTCTTCTTTTTTTTCTGGGTAAGACACATTCTTACAGTCTTCATTTTTTATTTCTACTTCACATAAGCTTTTTTGTCTCCCATTTAAGTGACCCAATCAAATATGTGAGTGCTATGCTTATGACGTCCAATAAAAGGGAGGACAGAAAAAGCAAACATCCACTCTCCAATAAGAAGTTTTTGCACTCCATTTCCAACTTCATCTCATTTTTCAATCCTCTGCACACTGATCACAGCATCACAGCAAGGTAAGCTGGTACAGACCTCTGGCCCCAATTACGTAACATGAAAACAACTCCAGGGCTAAAGTATAAGGCTGACAAAGGTCAAGATCATGCAAATACAGGTGAACTACACGTCAGCTGGTGCCACACTGTGGACCGATATACTCCCATGCCTGCCTCAGTGACTGTAAAATATTCGGCAAGCAAAAGATGCATGTGGCTATAAAAAAGCTTGCCTGAAGGCTGCTGCCTTACCCTGTTTCAACTGGATCTGGCAGTGTCGTTTACAAGATGTGCAAACTGATCATCAAGCATGACCAACTGCTACTACTAGGGTCTGAAATGAAAAGCCAAATGCCAACAGATCTTCTGTTTGGTCGGTAAATCTCAGAAGACTTTCTGACACACTGACGGGTAAATATTTGCCCTAAAAAATACACATGAACAACTGTAAAAGACTATGCTGAGGCTCTACTACATTTTGCTGTTGTTGACTTGCTCTGTCATTTGCCGTCTGTCTCAGAGTCCAATGAACAATGACAATATTCTAACAAGAGCTCACCCAAACCAAACGGTAGCCCTAAGAAAGACACAGACACTATCAAACTAAAGGGAAAATAGGAATGGGTCTTTAGAGTAAACAAATAAAAATGTAATGCAAAGATGAAGGTGAATTACTCTGATCAAATTGATTATCCATGAAGGTTTCCGAACCATTACAGCCTTGGTCCCCACTTAAGATGTCAGCGTTACCTGTGTTATCTTAACAGAAGTTTATGAATTTTCCTGGCCATCTAATAGACAACAATTTTCCTTAAAAGAACACCCCCTAACAAACAACTTCTTAAAAATCCATGCTCATGTCATACGATTGAGGAAAAGGCAAAAACTATTAGGTGGGCCTAGGGCTGTGCGATATGACCAAAATCTCATATCCCGATCTAAAACATCTATCGTCCGATAACGATATAAATCACAAAAATTTAACATTTTCTGTAAATTCTGTGAATCTCCGGTAGCTGAAGTGTTTCCAGCTGGGCGTCATATCTGGAAGAAACTACACATTTTTAGACATAGGTTGTAACGGCCGCCGTTTTCTTTGCAGCATGCTGCAGGGAAAAGCCTGTTCTAACGTTTGAGTCTAAGGTTTATTTTTTAGCACCTGACGGCTCTTTTTTGCTTCTCATCGGTAAATACTCTGCATACTGTTTCACGTGATTCAGTTTATTTTGAAAAGTCTCAACAGGATCTTGAGCTTTATTGTGAAAGGTTTATGTGGAAAATAAACAAACGGACACGGTTTTACCATCGTTGTTCCTAATGACAATGCATAAAAACAGGCACTTGTCCGTCCATAGTGTGGTTATATTAAATATAAGAGAAAGAGAGAACTTTAAGAAATTAATATAGCCACTACAGTGACCATAAAAACGATGAAAAAATATTGCCATAAACAGTTTATTTTGCAACACCAGGAAACAAACGATAGCGTAAAATGAAACGATAGATGTTTTTATATAGTCATCCGATATATGTCGTTATATCGAACAGCCCTAGGTGGGCCCCAAACTTTTCACATACATTAAGTTTCTTTTTGTTAGTTTGATTTATTTTTTACTTTTAAATATGCTCAGTAAAATTTTGTGCTCAATTGCTCAGTACTTTGAGAAATTATGTTTTGAAATTAGTTGTTACATATATTAAAATAGTTACGCTACCAATGTTCGCTTTTGCAAAGTTACGTGAAACAACAAGGCAATTAATTTCATTGGCCACTATATTTTCTCTATATTTATTTGTCTCCTTTGCCTTGAACTTTTAACTTGTGACAACAAAAAAGATGACTTCAGGAACTCGTGCCCTCAAAGAAAAACTCGTTATAACTAAGATGTCTATTATAATTAAATCTGACATTTAAATACACTGCAATAACGCTGAGTCAACATTAAATGGGTAAGAGGGGTGTCTTATCAAAAATCGTCACCCATGTACCTCAAACACTAACGTGATCTACCTCTTGAACTCCTAGTTCAGCGTGTTAGTAGCAAAGTGCTCATGTCTTAGATAAAGCCTATCAGAGCAGTGTGTTACCAAACTAAGATGGGGTACATTTTCTCCTCTGAGAAGATATGAATTAGTATCACATTTAGGTTTCAGGCAGTACCTGTCAACTAACATAACACTGCAAAGACAACCAATGCGGTTTGACTCGGCTGTCAAAATCCCCGGGTTATAACAGCCAGTATCGACGTAGCAGTGAAGTGAGCTAACCTCCAATATGACGGCTAATGTTACAGCAATTGATGGTCTCTGCCAGGTTATACTTCAGCCAAAAAACTACAACGAGGACTGTATTTAAGAATACCAACAAACCATGCCACGCTTATATATATATTGGTTAAATATAGTTTGAAAAGAGAAGGCGAGGCCGGCTAACCGGCTAGCAGGAAGCTTCTAGCTACGTGTCATATTCTCTATCACTTAGGCGACGTTGCATCGATGGCTACGTTAGCTAACTAGCAGTTAGCTACAAAAGCAGCTCTTCGACGTGCTAAAACCATGGAATTTGTGCAATACTCCGACTGTTTTTCAACTCTGAAATAAGCACCAATGTTTAAATAAATATGACAACGGGTCAAGTTAAATGTACACCCCACTCCCAGCGCCGTAACAGTAAACTTGGTGTAAGAAATGCTAACGTAGCAACATTAGCAGCCGGGAGAAATTGCTAGCCTAGATGTCGAACGTTTACGGGACTCTTTTCAGATATCAAGTACATTAAACAAAAAAAACTTACCCGTTATCTAGGTGTAGATTAATATAATAAGTATGTTCGCTCTAATACTCATGTAAATTGGTCACTTGCTCAAACCAACCAGAGACCCTGCAAAATGCCAGGTCCTTCTCTCCTCCTTCGTGTTTTGTTACTGAGCCACGACACTGCAATGGCTGTCCAGCAACTCCCCGAAAACTCTGCCCTGCCGCTTCCTGTTTATGTTTCACAGTCATCTTTCCGGCAGGGGAACTAAAATCTAGCTCCGCTCTGGATTTCTTTTTATTTCAGAGCCAACATGGACACATTTTGCTCATTTTTTAAATTAAATGATTTCATCGGTGTGATGGTTTGCTCCAAGTTTTCATATTATTATAGTCAAATAATCTCGTTAGGCAAGTCCATGTCAGCTCTGATATGAAATACTTTGTTTATCTCATATTTAGAAAATAATTTGTTTAAAGCAGTACAAATTAATAGTAAAATAATAATAAGAAAGAAAGAAATGGAAAACTATACTAATAAAATCTTGCACTCTATTCAGGAGGTGCAGAAGATAGTCCTGGGCACTGGGCACATTCTGAGGAGGACTTTATCCATCAAGTGAATCATCACATGATATCTCATAGTAGTTCTAAGTTGAAGGAATAAACTCAATATCATGAGTGAACAGAACAGGATTTTAAGCATGAGAAAATATTAATATTAATAAAAATACCCGTCAGATACTTTCTCTATGAGGCAGGTGTATTTTATTATAGAGGGTTATGTTATGAAAAATACCCTGTAGCTGTACTTATGTCAGCAGAGCTTAATCACTCTGTTAGAGAAGGTGCTTTCTCTCGCGCTCTCTCTACAGTAACCGGTGCGGAGGGTGGTCCGGATTAATCCATGACGGGAACAGTTTGTTCAATGATCTGCTCTCCAGCTTCAAAAGTGTTCAATTTGTAGCCAGTCACAGTGCCACCCTCCAGCAGACCACTGCGAAGTAATTGTGCTTGCACAACTGAGTAATAGAGAATCTCCATCATGTATCTGCACACACTGAAGGATCTATTTTTTCTTATGAAACAGAGTCTGCTCATTTCATTTTTGTATACAGCTTTTGTGTTTGTCTTTCAGGTCAGACACCCACAACACTAACATCATATCCCAGGATAGACACAGGTCATGTAGGATGTAATTATTTTGCAGATTATTTGAAATGTATAGGACTTGTAGAGCATTTTTACATTCAGCAATTCTTATTTCATTTTATATTAGAAGCACAAAATGTATAGGCTACATCATATTATGTGCATATGACTAGAAGGATAAAGTCCTGGCAAAAACGAAAAAAGAAAATTAACAAATTATAGTTAACTGACTTATTATTCTTAAAGTTTTGTTGTCACATTTCTGCATTTCTTGACAAAAATGGTCAAACATCTGATTTGGAGTTTGTCCACCAGTTCTTATTAATGTGGAATTTCCCCAGTGATTAAAAACAGTAATGTACAAATGTATTCTCTTTGACTTTCTTATCACTTTCAAAACAATGATGCTGGATTTTTCCCAGTTGCATGCAAGGACAAAACAAATAGCTCGGAATTCATAGAAGTTGTAAGGAAACTCAATGTCAAGTCTAAATGTTTCCAGTTCTTGACTGTTTAATCAAATGCAAAAAAGGTGAATTAAACTACATTAACCCTATTATAAAGATGAAGCTTATTCCCAACAAACCAAGGTTTATGTGTGGTTGTTTTTCCATACAGTTATGTCCAAAAGAATTCACCTGGGGACAAACTATAGCATATTCTTTTAGTGCTTTAACTTGGATCAGAGGATTCCACCATACGTTAGAAAAAGTATCGCAGGTCGTATTTCACGTGCAATTAAATGAGCAGCTTCTCAAAAAAAATGCACAGTGATTGTCCATAAACTCGATGATGTTTCTAGTACACTGGAAAATCCTGTGCACCGGAGGAAATGCCACGTGTACATACTGCGCATGCCCAACAGTTTCTACGTTGATCCTGCTGGGTGATCCCAGCTTCCGGTGAAAGGGGAGAAGTGTCTGACACGATTACTCTGACCAGGCCCATCGTTACTCACCCGTAGATAGCCGAACGGGTTTTTTGATAATGGCGATGGGCTTGTAATCGTCAACAAGTCACCTAATCAACTTTTTTTTTTGTTGAGATAATAGGAGACGTCGCCGTGGACGACGCTTTGAGCAGGCTACGCGCCGTCAGAGCTACAGGTTTAAACGTTACCCGCGACTGTCAGCCAGCTAGTTAGCCAGCTTGTTAGCCAGCTAAAGTCGTAGCTAGCTTTTCGCCAACCAAGCACCTCTAAATTAGATCCTGGTGTCTGTTTCAAGATGTCAACTGCGGGGTTCAATTCTCAGAACGGGACTGGGACAGGGCAGACATACGCAAATGGTGAGTAACTTTTATTAAATATATTTACTTCAAGGCGAAGTAGCTAATAGCTAACTGGCTTTTCGGTAGTCACAAACGAGCACTAGCGGCACTTCTTGGATCTTGTGTCTGATGCTAGTTGTTAGCTAACTGACTTGCTTAGTAACACTGTAACGATAGGTAGCTAAGTAGGGGCGACCTGTCAGGTGTAGAGCTGAGGTTAATCTTGATCTATGCTACCTTGATGACTTAACATGACCAAAATAGTTTCTTTACGCTATATATACACACATTTAGTTAGTGTTTGAATGTTTGCTACTTTTCCTTTGTCGAGGTGGCAGCCCAACAGGTTGATTATAGGACTCATCAGGCATCATAAATTATAGAGACAGGTGTTCAATTGTCCGACCTTTCTCCACACAACATAATATAATATACGCAGATATAATGCGAGCTCGTTGATAACTTGAAAAGTAATTGTTTTTTTCCTTTCATGCTGCTGGATTTGCCTGAACCTTTTTTCCCTTCTTTTTTTTTTTTTAAACTCCCGATGTAGTTTTAGTGGCAGTGAATAAATACATTTGCTTGTTAACTAGTTCTTTCACTGTTGTGCAATACGGATTTTCAGCTGGCTTAAAAGCTCTGGCTTGTCTGCGTCTTGCGTTTTTCTGTACATGTGGCACGTTGGGGACCATCCAAATATGTTAAAGCAAAGCGTTCCCCAGCCTGAAACAGATAAATGTCTTAATTTCAGGTTATTCATATCTTTTTGTGGTTTTCCAGTGGAGCACTGATATTTCACAATCAAATTAGTCTGCACTTGAAATAACTTTCTTGTTCTGTGCAGGCAACAGCATCCCTAGGTCATAATACCTCAGCTCCAATTCAAAAGTTGTAAATGAGTACACGTGATCTTGGTCATTTTAATATAGCATTGTTTTTTTTTCCAATTGCAGTTCAGTTAAAAATACAGCAGTGGAAAATAAACAATGCCAATTACCAACAAGAAAAAAAACCCCATCAAGCACATCAATAAAGCTGGGTGGCATGACTTGAATAATATTTGTTATCCTGGGTTATCTTTATGCGAATGAAATGTTAATGTGTGAATATGGATTTTTGTTTAAAAAATGTTTCCATATATCAGGTGTAATTCCCATCCCTTATGAATGGACAGAAATGTCATATTATAATGCTAAGCTTCGTGTATAAAGACTAAAGGCAGTTATAAGGAACCTGTCCATTACAAGCCCCTGCATATGCTCATAGGTGAAGGTGTGGTTGATGAGGGTGTGGTTTTTGTGTGTGTGTGTGTGTTTTGTTGTTGTTGTTGTTTTTTCCTTGACTGATTTATATTTTCTTCAGTATCATTATCATATACCCGGTTATTGTTAAAGCCAGAAGTTGCAGTAGACTAGATTTAAAAGGCTTTCCTGACTGCCTTACTAGTATTCAAGTTAAAGCTGACAGTCTGCGCTGTCTCTGTATCTTTGGTTCATTTTCTTGTCTTGAGTATTAGTATTTCTGGCAGCACAGGGTTGAACTTCTGAAGACAATTTAGTAATAATTTCATTACAGGACTTACCCTTGTGTCATTCTCCCATTTAAACTGAAATTATTAGTTTTGTGTTTGGAGTTAAACAGCGCCAGTACATTAACAGCCTCACTATTTGAACTTGCTGTCATAAAGTGGTCTTTAGAGCTGCTTTCATTATCTTAATCATTGTAATGCATATTTACACCCTCAAGTCTAGATTTACATGGGTTGTATTTTCCTACTCTGTAAGTGAAGTTTTTCTTGTTTTACCATTAGATGCTTTTGTTTTTTTTTAATGGAGTGAAAGGTCTGATATCACACTTGGCACTTTATGATTTCTGACTTTCTTAGAATTTCCCTGCTCTTAGAAAGGGCAAAGATTACTGGATTATGTTCCGTCATCTATCTTTGCATGTTGAGAAAAGTTTTCTAATCCCTTTTCACTCTGCTGACTTAGCTCTGCTGTCAGTTATAAAGTAAAGGAATAAATGCATAGTAGTGAAACTGCTTGCATTACATAATTGTTTAGGCCACAAACTGCATCGCATTGATGTTTCAAATTCAAGTGTGCTGATTAGATCATTCTTGGTAGTTTTTGTCCTGCTTTCCTTCCTTCTTCCTTATAACTGTTCATTTAGAATTTGACATCTGTTTCCTGTTCATAACAAGATCTTACATCGCCTATTGTTATTAATGTTTGACACTCTTGAAACTGAGATGTTTGTGTTACATTTTTAGCCTAGTATCTGCACAGTAAACACAGCATTTTAATGGTGTACAGGTGTCAGCTTTTATCACTGCTGTGTTCAGTAAGTAAGCCTGAAACCCACAGTCACTGAGGGAAAATCACAGCAAATTAAATCCAAGTAAAGAGATTACTCCTCTGGGCTGTCGGCTCATTGGTCATTTGATGCATCCGTGTGGTTTTCACTGCCAGCACTGTGCCATCTGCTTTTCATATAAAAACATTTAAAGCAAGTGGATTGCCTTAATTAAAATGCACTTGAATCTCAAACAATAGCCCCTAGTTTTAAATCTATAACATTGCTGGTTACATCTCTCTGTAACACTAAAGGCTTTACTGCTTTTGAACCTAAGGCTTAATTTCAGATATAACTCTTATCCTACATGACAATACTGTTATTTAAAGAGCTACAGCCATTGTGAAATGTTGGCGAGTAGTCAGGCAGATCTTTTCCGCTAAACAAAGGGATTGAAATAAGAGTTTTTATAAAAAATAAAATTGACATAAAATTAACCAGAGAA